TGCAGTTCGATTCTGCAGTTCGATTCTGCAGTTTCTTGCAGAATTTTTCTGCAGTTCGATTCTGCAGTTCGATTCTGCAGTTTCTTGCAAGTTCGATTCTGCAGTTTCTTGCAGAATCGAACTTAGTACTTCTTGACACTGTAGATCGATTGTTTCTACTAAATAATGGAAACTGTTTAGGATTGATTGAATTGTTAGAATAGCAGGATTTATGCTTAGAAGATCATTCACAACGTACAAAAGAAAGGAAATTCATGATCATTACTCGGGCAAAACAATTCAAAATGAGATAATTTGATCGGGGATGTTGCTTTACAAAAAATTATGAAAATTTTTCAAAATTTAAAATATTGTTCCATTATTTTAAACATCACATCTGTGCTCGTCACCAAGAGCAAATGACTATGATTCTGCAAATCTTCAGTTATTTTGATGACTATTTTTAGAACTTTAAGTCAAATTTATCATTTATTTGGTGCTTAACACAGCTTTTATAGATTTTAAAAACTCATGTATAACATCTGAGAGTTATTCCTACTTCTGATACACGCTGGGAATGCAGAACCTATTGTTTAAAAGCTGTTTGTTATCGGTTACTTTAGCTATCTGGTATGATTTATTGTTTCCAATCAATATCGTGCGCAAATTGATATAATCAAAAAACATGCAGTTTGGTATTGTACTAGAATGTAAAAAAAGTGCAACCAATTTTATGAAAAAATATACCGAAAATGAATTTGCATATGCTTAATTTTACCCAGAGTAAAACTTTTATTGTAACGCAACCATACTTATGCAAAAATAGTAATAAAAAAACTTATATTCATTATAGTAAAAGAAACGCCGGAAAAACGCCGGGGCCAAAAACATCTGTTGGTTTGAGATGCCATAGATTGGTTTTTTTCTACATTACGTCAGAATTTAGTTTTTTGATCTTTTGATCAAGACTTTTGAACTTAGGAGATTGTTATAAAATAAAACAAGCAAGTAGAAAATCTAAATAAACTTAAAAAATGGATTGAGTTTTCTATCAAAAAATTGCAATAGAGAGCGTACATTGGCTTTACGTAGCATTTACAAGAGTGGGCACCGTTCGTTGCCATGATAAAAACTTGCAATTTTCATTTAATTTTATGATTTAGAATTTATTATTATTATTCCCAGTGGGAAAAAAGACATCTTAAGACGAATAAAAGGCGTCTTTTTTATAACTTGTTATGTCTTTTTATAATCAGCCTAAATAAAGACGTGGAAAGACGTCTTTTAAAAAGTCATCTTTTAAAGAGATTGAAAAGACGTCAATCGGTTGTTAATAAGGAACTCATTATTTGCTTTAGAAAATTAAAAAAAATTATTGCCATAATAAGCTAACATTGATGGGTTTTAACCTATAGTATCGTAATTACGATATCTTTGTTCTGATTGGCCCGTTTTTTGTTTACAAAATACTTTTATATAACTTTTTTTATGTGAAACGTTTTTGCATAGGAAATTTAATTAAAATTAACTCTTTTTCGGTAAGTGGGTTTATTCAGGCTGTCAAGTCGTCATTTTTTTCCTTTTTTTCCTTTTTTTTGGGTTCTTTTTTTTTTCTTTATTTGTTTTTCATTTTTTTTGTTAGTTTCTGTCATTTTTTCATTTTTTTCTTAAATTTTTTACACTTTAAAGTTTTTTTTAAATACTTAGAATTGCTGTTTTTGATATTTTTAAGTTGTTTTTGACGTTATGTTTTATGTTTTTTATTTAATTTTCAAAACTATTTTATAATAACAGTTACAATCTTTTATGTTCACATTTTAATTTTAATTATCCATTTGTATTACTAAATTGGTGTTATTATTAAAAAAAAAATCATACTATAGTATAGAATTAGTAAAGTTGGTGATTTTAATCTTTAGTTTTTAGTATATTTATCAATAGATTATATAGTATAATGGTTAAGTGGAATGATGTGTGATTGGAAAAGTTAGACTAAAATCTAGTGAAAATCCAATTATGGGCTGAAAAAAGAAACTATGAATATGCTATCTGTAAACTATGTAAAAGTGATTTAAAATTCAGTTCAGTTGGTTTCCAAGCACTATATCAGCATTCTTCAAAACCTAAACACAAATCAGTGTCTGATTTAAGATTTTCAAAAACTGCTCGTCATTTATATGTAGATTCTACCAAAAACTCTATTGGGGGAGAAAAAGTTATACAATTAGAGTTCTCTATAAATGAAAAAATTTCTGCTGCAGAAGCCATGTGGCTTTTTAAAGTGGTAGAGAATGATCTTGCCTTAAGACATTGTGACAACACACCAATATTGTTTCAAAGATAGTTTCCATATAGTAAAATAAGTCAAGGTTTTACTATGAGTTGGCAAAAAGCTTCATATATTTTGCAAGATGGCCTTGGGCCATGTTGGAGAAGCGTTTATGTAATAGTATCACATTAATTCAAGGTGCATTCACTTTAATGTTTGATGAAACAACTACTTCACAACAAAGAAAACAAATAGATCTTTTATGTCGTTTTTGGTCAGAAGACAAAAACCAAGTTGTTACAAAATATTTAACATCGCTGTTTTTTGGCAGAGCAATAGCAGAAGATGTCAAAACAATGCTAGCAGATTTACGTCATAATAAAAGGTTTTATTTACCATGGCATCGTCTTTTTAATATTTCAGCAGATGGTCCTAATATTAAAAGTGCGATTTGGAGATTGTTAAATGCTGATCTTCATAGTAATGACTTTAATGGCATGTTACCATTTGTAAGTTGCACTTTGCACAAAGTGCATAATGCTTTTCGAAAAGCAATTAATGTTGTTGGTGAGGATGCTGAGCAGCTTGCATTTGTTTTACATACCTGGTTCAAAGTAATGATTTAAGTAATTTTATACAGTAGAATCCCATTAATTTCTGACCATGGATAAGTTGGATTTGTACTAAGTTGGACAGATTTTCCATTCCCCTTGAGCTTTCTATACATACAAAAAGCTTAGCTTATTGGGACATTCGCAAAGTCGGACTAGTTATCTATTCCTTATGAGACTCTCATGGGGAATAGATAAATAGTCCGACTTTGCGAATGTTATCAGTTACGCACTTCTAAAAAACTTAACGGGATTTTACTGCAGTTAATACTAAAAGAGAATTTTTTATTTTACCTATGAAGTTATTTTTCTTACATCATTGTTATTTTTTATTCTAATAGTCTATTATAGGATTAGCTAATAAAGTGTAGTGTCTCTATATAATTTTTTTTTTTCTGTTTTAGAATGCACCCTGTAAAATAGAAGATTTTAAAAAATTATCAGATTGCATTTTTATTGAAGATGAAACATTGTTTCTTCGTTTTGTCAATACTAGATAGCTTACTCTTTCTTCTTCACTTATAAAGGTTCTATTAAAGTGGGAAGACACCAAGAAATATTTTTTGGAATATGTTCCAAAACAAAAGGAATATAAAAAGACACTGACAAACAACTAGCGTTATATTCAGATTCAAAGAAGTTTTAAGGAAACTGAAAATGTAATTAAAATTATTATTCTTATTTTTTTTTTTTGATTTATTACATATAATAGAGAATTGATTATTTTAGGAGTTACTTGTGTCTATCAAATTCCTTATTGGTTTAGCTTCCTTGTTTGAATAATACTTGACAATAATTCAAGATGAAGGACCACTTGTTCATATTTTATTTTATAAAATGAAAAATTTTTAATATCTTTAATGAAATGTTTCCTTCAACCAACTGCTGTTAATGGAAAGCTTACCAAAGATCTTTTAAAAATTGGTTCTTCTGATTCAACTATCTACTTTGATTTGAATAAAATGGACTTTGGCGAGGAAGCAAAAAACCAGGTAATTTTTGATAGGTACACATTTGCTACATTTACCAGTTACACATTTGCTACCTGGTAAATATGTACTTGGTAAATATGTATAAGTAAGTGTACTAGGCAACATAAACTATTGTGTTTACTGCATTAATCATTAAATATTTTATATATCTAATGATTAATGCAATAAACAATATTAAGTATAAATATATTTTAGGTGAACAAAATATCATGTGAAAAAAAAAGAAATGTCTGCTTAGAGCAAATGAGTATATATATATATATATATATAACTATATATATATACTATAGTATATATATATAGTTATATATACTATAGTATATATATATATAATTATATATACTATAGTATATATATATAATTATATATACTATAGTATATATATATAATTATATATACTATAGTATATATATATAATTATATATACTATAGTATATATATATATAATTATATATACTATAGTATATATATATAATTATATATACTATAGTATATATATATATAATTATATATACTATAGTATATATATATATAATTATATATACTATAGTATATATATATATAATTATATATACTATAGTATATATATATATAATTATATATACTATAGTATATATATATATAATTATATATATATATATATATATATATATATATATATATATATATATATATATATATATATATATATACTATAGTATATATAATTATATATATATACTATAGTATATATAATTATATATATATACTATAGTATATATAATTATATATATATATACTATAGTATATATATATGTTAGAATCTGCAGATATTAAATGATATATTTTTAATATCTGCAGATTTTTCATAAAATAATATTGCGTCCCAAACTCATATATATATAATTATATATATATACTATAGTATATATAACTATATATATATATATATATATATATATATATATATATATATATATATATATATATATATATATATATATATATATATATACAATATATATATACAATTGCAGCTGTTTAGCTAAAAAATGTCAATCGGAAGAAGCAAAAGTGGATGGCGTGGTGCCAGTAAAATCGTATCGATATGATCTAGTTTCAATTAAGTTAGTTGCAGGTAAATGTTTTAAAAAGTTTTACCGTTTATTTTTAGACTAATTTTTTAATGTATTGTGCTTGAAGAACATTGTGTATTACATATTAAATTAAAATTTTTTTAAATTTTATTAAAAAAATTTTTTTTAAATTATTTTCAGTCGAAAAATAAAACCTGTAAACAATTTCTCTCGTTCAAATGCCAGTGAAATGAACGTGATACTGAAAATGAAAATGATACTGGAAAAGCACACTTTCTTATATCTAAACATCATTGCAGCTTTCTAGCCTTCATTTTTGTTTATGTGTATTTCATCTGTGTTGCTAATGATATCGCCAGTTTATATGATTTTATGTTGTTAAGTAAAGCATTCTTATGTTTTAGGCTAAAATAGAGCTTTTACTAATACTTTTTCCAGTTTAAATGAATAACAACTCTCAAGGTGTATTAGCTGAATTATCTTTTTGTTTTGATAGTCTTTAGTTAATAACGGATTTTTAAATTGTTATGAGTCTACAACACTTAATTTCAGCGAAAATCAATTAAAAAGTCATGTTATAGAAGACAGAAAAATATCAATATCTGTTTTCAATAACTTGACTTTCATAGCAAATCCGAGAGGTGCAAATGTTTAGCTTGATTTAAGTACTACATAATAAAATACATTGTTGTACAGTCATTTTGATGGTTGTAAATTTATTTAGCACACTCATTTTTATATATTTTCAGACTGTTTACCGTTTGACTACTGTCCCGATCTAACCTAGTGGGTTCAAAAAGAAGGAACCGCGCTGGAAACATGAGTGGATTAAATGGATCAGCCCTTTATGAATTAATAGTCGGTAAGTATAATGTGCTCCACTCAGCTAATCAAGTTTCGTTTGCTTTTTTGTATTTCATTTAAGCCTTATTAAGCATTTTGTATTACATTTATTTTTGTATTACATTTAGACTGTTTTTTATGTTCACTCGTTTTTTAGAAGTGGTAACCAGCTAGAAGTCGTAACCTGCTCGTATGAAAGGATTTCTTGACGTGAAATTGTTAATTTTATTCAACAACGCCAAAAAAACAGAAAAGAAAGAGAAAGATGAAAAAATATTCTGTTGAACAATACTATTGTTTTATTTATAAACTATTCTCCTATATTTAAACATATAAAAGATGTAGAAAATGCTTCCTCTTTTATATTGACAACAAAAAAGGTTTTTTTTACTGGCATCGGAAAAAGCTTTTTGTCATACTTTGTATGAAGAGCTATTGTCATTTTCATTTGAAAAAAATAGCTTTTCATATAAGAAAAGTAGGAATACTATAGTGTATAGGATATTATAGTATACTAATAAGTATGGTAAAAAAGTCGTTCCGACCCCGAGAAAAAACACTTTTTTAGAAGTGCGTAACTGATAAACAAAGACGTCCTTAAAGACGCATTTTTTATGTCTTTTCATGACAAAATTAAGATAACAAAAGACGTCTTCGATGTCGAAAAAAGATGTCTTTTAGATTTGCATAATCGACTAAAGAAAGACGTCTTAAAGACATCGTAAATAAGACTTTTAAAGACGTCAGTTTAGAAAATTGGTCAGTTTAGACGTAATCATGTAATTAAATTGGTCAGTTTAGACGTAATTATGTAATTAAAGCCATATTTACCAAGTGAATAATTGGCGTATTTCATTCAAACCCATAGTCCGCCGTTTCCGTTTTTAACTCATAACGTTTTATATGCTTAAATGGCAAATTTAATTTTGAAAAAAGATTCTTGACCGACGTAAAAATGCATACAAGGATACGTTTAAGTGTAATCAAATTTTACTCCGACAGTTTTACAATGTTTTTTAGCTTCTAACTTTTTATTAAATAAACATTTTGCAAATTTTTTCTTATCATGTTGATGAGAATAAGAAAAATGGGCATTTTTCAAAAAAAAAAAAAAATTTCACAACAGAAAATTTGACAGTTCATAGAAAAAAATTGTTAATTTCGTATTTAAATTTTATATCATCATATTCAGAAAAAGATTCTCATCAACATGATAAGAAAAAATTTGCAAACTGTTTATTTAATAAAAAGTTAGAAGCTAAAAAACATTGTCATAAGTATTTCATTCTATCATATATTTCATTCGATCGCTTTAACTCTTTTATGCAAGTGGCATTAATTTTTTTCTTTCTAAAAATGTCATTTTTGAAAAAAACTGTTCAAGACTATATTTGCTGGAATTAGTTTCAGGAGAAAGATTGCAAAGATAAATAAAGATTGCTATAAAGAGTATTATTCAGACCAGAAAGAAAAATTACAACTTTTGAAATGTATATTCATTTATAAAAACTTATAATAGATAAAATTTAAAGAATACAAGAGATAAAAAATAAATTTGTATTGCTCATGGTTGTTAAAACATTTTACCAGACAAAATATACTTTTTTAAATATGAATAGGTGTTACTGACGATTTAAAAAATAGTTTATGCAGTACTAAAAAACCAATCAAATTAGTTAAAAGTTTTTGTTTTAGTTAAAAGTTTTTGTCCATGGCCAGACACGCAATTTTTTTATGTTTCACATGACATCTTCAGCCATTTGTAATTCTAAACTTAAGTTTATTTATGCTTATGTCAAATAAAAATGCTTTTCAAAAAATTGCACTAGTTAATGTCTAGAAACAAAAACAAAAACTTTAAAAATTTGCCCACGCGTATCATCTCGTTTGCTCTTATGCGTGAGGGTAATGAGGTAACAAAATATATAGCTTTACTATCTTATACTCGATATATATTTATCAAAAGGTTTTAAACTTTATCTCATAATCTTTTGGTGTTCGAAAGTTATGACCATGTAAACTTCCCCCCTTTCTAAAATGAGGAGGTTGCATATTTTTCATGATAATAAATTTTGAACAATAAAAGAGTATTATATGAAATTTAAAACCTGCAGATCAATTGCTTGAAATTGTTATATACAAATTGTATAAATGTTCTATGGACGTATTCGGATTTTTCCACCTATGTTATAACTACATAAAATGTTTAAAAAAAACAAGTTTTGATGAAAAATAAAATTTTTATAAAAATCAAGCTTGACCATCAAGCTAAACAGTTTTTTTTAGCAACTCTTTCACAAAATTTTGTGTGAAGAGGGTAGTAAGGTACTTCCATAGAAGAATCTATTACTTTTTTAAATCTTTTTTTGCCATATTGCATGTAAAATTCGGCTGCAAAATTTGTTCATTACTAATAATGTAAACAATCAATAAGTTTAAGGAGAGCCACAGCATAAAAGTTAAGTGTAATTTTTTTTCGGTTTCTTGCACTTACATCACTTTGCTCTGAATCTTCTCTAACTTTCATATTCATCTTGACTACAAAAGTTCTATTTTTTTTGATGAGCTTGCAAGAAGAGATATTAGAAGAGACTCAGATGAACATGAAATGCCTCATTTTGAATAGAATTTCTTACAGCATACTTAAGTTTGGCTGTTTAAATAAACTAAGACCTTTGATTTGTGGATTCTGATCCAATCACCATTATAGCATGATCGGTTCCTCTAGCAACCATTCAGTTATAAAGACCGAATGCAGCTTTTATAACTGGTTTGTTTGGACCCTTTGAAGGTGAGCAATGGGTCAAATAGCTTTCATCTGGTTTTGAATTAAAACTTATGTTTTTTATTCTTCGACAAAATGTTTTAATAACTGAATCTTGAATGTAAATTAGATAAGGGTCTTTTTTTCCATCTTTAGATATGCCTTTATTTAGTACTTTAATAATTAATACTTTAACCATAACCTCCTATCTGCCTCTCCAAATTATTTTAGGATCGCATTATAAATTAGCTATTTTTGGAGTCAAGTAATTAGATTTGATCAAATATTGAAGGAAAGCAGATACAATTGCAAATGTAACAACAAGAGATATGTTGAATTTAAGAGTGCTATCTTTATGATAATTGTGATCTTTATTTAATTCTGTTTAATGATAATAAATGGAAAAGTGTTTAGTTTGATATTATTGAAGCTGTCTTTTAAGAATATTTCATTTACATCCTTATTATTTTCAGATGAATTTTCTTGATTAAAGTCATGTCCAACTGATTCATAAACTTCATCTTCAAAGTTTTGTGTTTGAACCTGTTGATTAGTATGAGCTTTTTTTATTTAATTTTTCTTTTTTTTTAATAATGCAATTAATGTTGTTTTTCTTTTACCTGTATAAGTATGTGAACTCCTGCAGAACAACTTGTAACATCCTTACATAGAGAATTTTCAATTGTACAATGTAATATATTGCATCTACATTTAAAAAACATATATAGTTTAAACTATTATAAAATTGTCTGTTTAAAATACCTAATATTGTAATATTTCCTACCCAGTGGGCACTGGACGTTTAAAGACGCCCTGCGGATGCCCAGACGTTTAATGGATGTCCTATGCATGTTACCGGTTATCCTGTGTTCACATAGTATTGATTAGAAATTCACTTTTCCATATCGTGTCAAAAAATTCATCAATCAAGATTGTTGTAAAAAAATTATAGTATGACGTACTTATGGAAAGTCATTAAGCGAAACATTATTAACAAACTTATTACAAGTATTTTTTATCTATATTATATTTATGGTATACACAGTATATTTATTTTATACAGTGAAAACTATGAATGACTTATTACTATTATTACCACATAATAAAAATATTCAAAAAAGGTGTTAAATGTTATCAAAATATCGACTTGCAATATTACTTATTTGATATTGTACCGCGGTTTATAACTTGAAAGGTGTTACATAACGCAAAACTTCTTCGATATATTTAATAGAACATGACTATTTAAAGGATGCATTGACATGTAAAAATGCATTTTGACAAAATAAAAAAACATTTTTATTGTATTGCATATTTTCCGTTTTAATTTATTATTTAAACGATGTTACAAAACATATCATCTAATGTATGGTACTCAACAAAGTATTTTACTATCAAACTTTTTTTTATAAATTCAACTGGTGACTTTTGGCCGTTGTGTTTTTAATGTAAAACTAAACTAAAAACTAGATGAATCTGAAACATAGGCTAAATATTAAACATAGGCTAAGTATTAAAGAGATAAAAAATGTTTGACGTCAATGACGTCACCAAAAAGTTTAAATAAATTTAAGTTATAAAAAAAAAGATTAAGAACTTATTTTAGTAATTGCTCAGATTAGAGATTTTATTTCGATAGTTTCTTTCTAGAAAAAAATAAATGAATTCGATTTATGAAGTTCTATAAGTTGCGCCATTATTGATTGAAATAGTAATGTACCTAGATCATGCAATCTGCTGTTTAATCAATTTAAGGCTTAAAGATTCATGGCTGATTATCTTAGGATCGATCTTAGTTTCAACACTTAATATTAAATAAAAGACTACAAACTAGACCAGATCTAAACTCGCTAAGCCAAACTCGCTGCGTACCTAGGAAAAAAAATTCTATAGAATTTCTATAAACTTTTGAAACATATGGCCTATAGAATTTCTAGAGAATTTCTATAGACTTTCTATAGAATGTCTATTTATTTCTATAGAAATCGATATAAAATTTTTTTTTCATAGAAAAAAAGTAGAAAAAAATTTATATAGAAATTTTTATAGAAATTAACAGAGATTCTAAGAAAATTCTATAGAACTCTATAGAATTTCTATAGGCCATATGTTTTAAAAGTTTATAGAAATCCTATAGAACTTTTTTTCCTGGTTAGAAACTTTATTTACAACTTTTTATTAATACCCGTGCCTATTTTTACTAATTTTATTTTAACAATTAAAACTATTTATAAACTGTTTAATCTTTAAAAAAGTTTTTTTTTCTTCTTAAAAGTTTTCAACAGTATTTCAACATTCTCATTCACAGTTCTCATTGAAAACATATATTCAAAAACTTCTGTAACTTTAAATGCTCTGGAAAAATCATTAGAATTTGGAAGAGAAGTTTTAATTTTTTTTTGTATATTTATTACTTGATTTTTGAAAATTTTGAAAGTTATCTAACATTTGAAAAGGAGATTTCAGGTGTTTGATAAATTTAAAATGCCTAATATAGTTGATAAGAAACGGACGCACGACATAATGCATTTCTTATTTTCCACATAGAGGCTACTTCCAGATGGAGACTACCTCCAACATAACCTCCGACTTAAGCATTACAAAAATATAAAAAAAAGTTTTTTTAGAGTACAATATTTTTAATGACTAATAGTTATTACTTACCGGAAAACAATTAAAATTTTACATGACAGTAACTCAATACAAGATGATTAAATGTTAAATGCCATTGAAAAAAAAAACTATAAATAAGAAATTAAACTTCAGTTTATTCATTTCAGTCATTAACTGTTAAACATGGCTAAAGTCTGTGCTTTTTTTGCATTTGTCTTTTTTGTCGGAGTTGCTCATGCCCAAGGTAAGTATATATATATATATATATATATATATATATATATATATATATATATATATATATATATATATATATATATATATATATATATATATATATATATATATATATTATCTTGTATAAGAGTATATGTTATATTAGTATATATATGAAATTAGATTATATTAGTATAATATAATTATATTAGTGTAATATAACGTAACTCTTATACACGATGTCAACACTAAAGATATATACACATATATATATATATATATATATTATATATATATATATATATATATATATATATATATATATATATATATATATATATCATAATCATGTTTTTTAGTTTTTTGATATTTTTGTTTTTCTGAATGAACTTTTAAATTTTTCTTTCAAAAAATAAAATCGAAAAAATATCTTTCAAAACTTTGAACTATTAAACTATTTGGCATTTTATATAAACTTCTTTGTAATTTTTTGCTTTTTTCTTAATTTTTTAATTTTCATTTTAGTTACCATGTATTTATATAAATGTCTAGACAAACAAGGGACTTGGTGATAAGACCCCGTCTTCTTCTCGTCCTTGCCATTTTTTAAATATTTTAAATTACGGAACTTGTAAATATTTGTACGGCTAAATTATAAAATATATATATATATATATATATATATATATATATATATATATAAATATATATATATATATATATATATATATATATATATATATATATATATATATATATATATATATATCTTTAGTGTTGACATCGTGTATAAGATTATATGTTATATTAGTCAGAAAACATCAATTAATACGAATTCTCTTAATACAATTAATAATTTATTATTAGAAACTTTCGCTGGATTATGGTTACCAGCATCATCAGCTATTAGTCAGAAAACATCAATTAATACGAATTCTCTTAATATAATTAATAATTTATTATTAGAAATTTTTGCTGGAATATGCTTACCAGCATTATCAGCTCGTAAAAATGAGATGATGATGCTGGTAACCATAACCGAGCGAAAATTTCTAATAATAAATTATTAATTGTATTAAAAGAATTTGTATTAATTGATGTTTTCTGACTAATATATATATATATATATATATATATATATATATATATATATATATATATATATATATATATATATATATATATATATATATATATATATATATAACATTAACAAGCTGATGATATTTTATGACTTTCAGTCTTACGCACTTCGCGAGCATGTGAAGGGTATGGGCTGAAAATTGATTGCACCGGTCAGGGAGTAATTGAAGTAGTCAGTGCAAATTATGGTAGAACGTTGTCTAATGTTTGTCCTGGAGCACAATCTTCAAACGTAAAATGTAATAATCAAGCAAAATCATTAGAAGTTGCTCGTAAGAGTTGCTCAGGCAGATCCTCGTGTCTTATTCAAGCAACCAATGCAGTTTTTGGCGATCCATGTGTTGGAACATACAAGTATCTTGAAGTACAATATCGATGTAAATACTTTTTGTTTTAAATGAATCATTAAAATTGCAAGGCCGACGACACGGTTTTCGAAGTGGGGGTGGGGGATGCACAATCATCAATACTTAAAAAAAGTTTATTATATCTAGAGTTTTCTTAATAAAAATAAAAGAAGTTCTTTAAAAGAAAAGTGGAGGGGCACGTACTCCTTGTCCCGCCCCCGCCTGTGTCGCCGCCCTGAAGAGTTTGAATTGTTTCAAAATGTATTTTGTACAACTTATGATTAAATAAGAGGATGATGAAAATTGTTGTAAAAAAAATATATTATTTAGGTAAAGTACCAGTGCATGTTGCACGAGCTTGCGAAGGTTTTAATCTAAAAATTGTTTGCGATAGTCATGAAGTAATTGAAGTGCTTAATGCAAACTATGGCAGAACATTATCTAATATTTGTCCTGGAGCACAATCTTCAAACATAAAATGCAAGAATCAAGCAAAATCATTAGTAGTTGTTCGTAACAGTTGCTCAGGTAAATCTTCGTGTGTCATCCAAGCATCCAATGCTGTTTTTGGCGATCCATGTGTCGGAACATACAAATATCTTGAAGTACAATATCAATGTAAATACTTTTTAAATTAGCATCGCATTAATAATGATTTTTATTATTTCAAAATGTATTTGGTAAAATTTATAATTCGATTAAAGAATAATAAAAACTAACGTAAAAAAAGATATAAATTTGTAGGTAAATCACCTGTGCGTGTTGCGCGAGCATGTGAAGGTTCTGGTTTAAAAATATCTTGCAACGGTCATGGCGTAATTAATGTGCTCAATGCAAACTATGGTAGAACATTGTCTAATATTTGTCCTGGAGCACAATCTTCAAACACCAAATGTAATAATCAAGTAAAATCGTTAGCAGTTGTTCGCAACAGTTGCTCAGGTAGATCTTCGTGTGGCATCCAAGCAACCAATGCAGTTTTTGGCGATCCTTGTGTCGGAACATACAAATATCTTGAAGTGCAATATCAATGTAAATACTTTTTTAATAGTGATGCAATAAAAAAAAATTAATTGTTTTAAAATATGATTTGTACAATTTATAATTTGATTAAAGAATAATGAAATTAGTTTAAAAAAACGTTTTTTCAACAGGTATACCACAAGTGAATGTTGTACGAGCTTGCGAAGGAAGCAATCTAAAGATTAATTGCAACGGCAATGGAAACATTAAAGTGTTGCAAGCGAACTATGGTCGAAAGTTATCTAATGTTTGCCCTGGAGCACAATCAACAAACATTAATTGCAATAATCAAGGAAAATCACTTGCAGTAACTCAATTACAATGTTTTGGCAAACCTTCTTGTACTGTCGCGGCAACTAATGCAGTTTTTGGCGATCCCTGTGTTGGAACATACAAATACCTTGAAGTAATGTATAGTTGTTTTTAAAAGAATAAACAAATTTTTTGCTTGTTTTAATGGAGATGGTTACTCAGAAACTTTTGATGAAATATATGTTATAGTATTAAAGTATATTAGTTTTATTTTATTTATTTTACAGTTATTTTTGAACGGTAACTTCTATACAAGTTCTTTATATTACAAAGTGATTAAAAAAAGAAATAAATACGTCCAGATATCAATTCAGCTCAACAGAATTTTCAATGCTAATTTGTTGTAAATGTGAAGTAAACATACTATGAAATTTTGGCAATTTTGAGCTTGCTTTACACAAATTACATAATAAGTTCCCTCTGCAACAATTTCTTAATAATATTTTTTCAATGTAGCATTACATATTAATGGTGTTTTAGATAGACACTAGGTAATCGATCTCGAGTCTCGATTTATCGTCTGGTATCGGTGCGATACCATACAGTATCAATACCGAAATTACGCGATACTGGTATCGAAAGTATCTGTTATGTTGGTATCGTTTGGTCTCGATGCGATACCTTACAGTATCGATATCGAGGTCACGTGGTACTAGTATCAAATGTTATCGCTTATGTTGATATTATTTTGTACAGTATAAAGGATGAGGAAAACTTTTTCAATTTTTTTTATCGTGATTAAAAGGAAAGAAAAGGTTTTGTTTAACATTTATTTCTATATTATATTGTTAGAAATAATTAAACAATGTTAAACAGTGAGTAAGGGGCGGACAAAAAAGAAAGAGAGGGTGGTATTCGGGATACTGACCTCCTCCTAACTAGGAAATGTCAAACTTCAAAATATCATTGATAAAATTAAAAATTAAAAACTCAACATTTTATTATTTTTCTCAAAAAAAAAAGTATTTATTTAACCATTCAATATATATATTAGAAAACTATCTTTAAAATCATTCTAAATGATTAAATGAAAAGGTTATTTTATATAAAAAAACGTAAATCTTATTTTTTATTTATTTTTTGGTTGGACTACCCCCTAGAATAATGACCTGGATCCGCCCCTGCTGTGTACAGTTTCTCATATTGTTATTCCAACTCTATTGAATTTTTATTCCGTTTAGTCAAAAATTTTCTGTGTGGAATTAATCGGAATTAAAATAAATTAAAGGGAATAGTTTTGCAATTATTAAAGAAAATTTTTCATTTAATGCTCTGAAGGAAATTGCTTATGATGCAATCGTTTATAATTATTCTAAAAGAGTATGAGAAATGATTGTTCAAAGGGAATTGATTTTGTAACAGTCGTTACAGTTATTTAAATTTAATTAGTTGTATGATATTGTATCCGTATTTTAATTTTTCATCTGGTATCGTTACTTTAATCAAATCTCTCGTGGTATCGTAACTCTCGCCTGGTCTTTAGTTCTGTGCTCAACAACTAAACTTTAGTTTTAAACAATTAAACATAAGTATACTTTAGTTATTAAAGAAGAACTAATCTTCACAGTCCCGGGAAATAATCCTATTCATTACCGGCAGAATTAGTTTTATATATAACAACTTAACTCTACATTGTAGTAGTTAGCGTGGCCAAAAGGATAAAGTTAGTTGGCCAGTGAGTCTGGAGATCTAGGTTCAAGTCTTTCCGAAGGGTTTAATTTTTTTAGTTTTTGTTATTTAAAAATGTAGTTTATTTTTTAGAAATTCTATAAAATTATATAGAATTTCTATAGAGTTTCTGTTAACTATAAAAGTTCCTATTGAAATTTTTTTCTACTATTTTTTTTTATAGAAAAAAAGTTTTATTGCAATTTCTATAAAAATTAATAGACATTATATAGAAATTCTATAGAGTTTCTATAGACCATATGTTTCAAAAGTTTATAGGAAATTCTATAGAACTTTTTTTCTTGGTTATTGTAGATTGTTAAAAAAACAAGAACTAATTCTCTGAAAAGTAATTGTACTTTTATTTTGTTAGAAAATAATTCAATAATTCAATCTCGTATCGTATGGTATCGCTTATAAGCGATACCACACGATACGAGACCGTCCTTCTTGGTATCGAGTGGTATCGAACCGATACTGATAGTACCGACATTGGTACAAAAGCGATACCACGCGATACGAGACTATTCTTTTCGGTATCTACTTAAAGGATACCGATTATCTAGTGTCTAGTTTTAGAGCGCTTTCTCAAAAAAAAGATTTTAAACTACCGATGTTTTATGTTTCTTTCAAACTTTAATAAGTAATTCATAAACATGAAATTATTAAAATTTAAAAAAATATTACAGATAAAAAAAAATAATAATAATATTTATTTTTCGAGATGTTTTGGGATTTTTCTGATTGAGAGAACTGAGATGGTAAAAGCTGTTTTCCTTACGCAACAAAAGTTTTCCTTATGCAACAAAAGTTTTTCTTACAAAACAAAAGTTTTTCTTACGCAACAAAAGCACTCAATTGAGTAGTTAACGTACTTCTTTTAGTTTTAATTATATTTATTTATAATACAGTTGATAAAGGTATATCAAAACATGGCTAGCGTTCTTTTTAAAATTTGTTTATAATTTGAAAAATAAAATATTTATTCAAGTATTTTTCTTATTTTTAAATTATAAAAATATTTTAAAAAGAGTTTTAGAAGAGAGTGGAGATAATATGATAAATGGAGCACCATGAAACATTGTATTTATGGAGGTATCTTAAGAGTTGTGACAATCACTTTCATATGGTGAAATAGTTACTACTAAAGCTATGTTTTGAAAAAAATTATTATATTTATTGACCTAATTCTATAAGCAAGTATGGGATAACTTGATACAGCATTTGTGGGGGACATTAAAACTGTAGAATACTCCATTGTGTCGTAAAAAATTTATATTCAATTTTTTAGAGATTTATTTAAAAAACTCATTTTGTTTAGTTAAACAGTGAAGTACAAACACGTATTTATACGTCATTGTTTAGTCAACTAAACTCCATCAGTAGGTTCATCAGAAAGCAATTCCTGATGAACCAACCGATGAAACTACTGATGGAGAAACAAGCTGTCAAAGAAAAAATTAGTTAATAATATATATATATATATATATATATATATATATATATATATATATATATATATATATATATATATATATATATATATATATATATATATATATATATATATATATATATATATATATATATATATATATTACAGATTTCTTTATTTTTTAGATTGAGCAAAAGTTAAAACATGTATTTTATCTTTTTCAAGGCTAAAGGATTGAGATATATGTCCTTCATGATAATAAATTACTAAAACCCATATACTTGTAATCTAACGATTCACAGAACAATTTAAAATAAGTTGTTTTTGCACAGTGAATCAATGGATACAGCTGTGATATTGAATAGGGACATAACCAAATAACTATGAGGCTGAAGGAGTAAAGACACTGTACACTATATTTTTGGCATACTTTTGTTAATTAGATTAGTATAAAATACAATAAACATTTTGAATATTGAGAAAAAAGAAAAAAGAATTTTTTTGATATCAAAACTTTAAAAATATTACAAAATTCAAAAATTATTCAAATAATATTATTCATAACATGAAATTAATAAATTCATTTTCATTTAGTTTGTTTGTTAAAAATGCATACATTTAATCTTTAAGATCATTAATGGAGTATAAATGTGAATCAATCTATTCAATGTACCCCAATTCACTGTGCCCCACCATAACAAATTAAGTTTTAATCTAATTTCTTGGGACACGAGTGTTGTACTAAAAGAAAGCCTAAATATTAATAATCCGAATAAAAAACTTCAATTTTTAAAATTACTTCAACCATGATCTCCATAACAAACATTAGTAAGATAAGAAAATTTGCTATAGTAAGCTAAAAAAAAAAATTACAAACCAAAAACCGATAGTTAAAAATTATAAGGTAACTATAAATAAAGATGGCTGATATATGAGCACATAAAACTTGCATCTCAAATTCCTCGTGTAAATCTAAACTTGCATCTCAAATTCCTCGTGTAAATAAATCTTTTGGTAAATATTTAATTCGTAATAGAAATAAACTAAATAACGAAAAACTAACCATGTTAGAAATTGAAGAGGCTTTTAAAAGCCTTAAAAGAAACAAGGCTACTGGAATTGACGATGTCAATAGCAACATAGTAATTAACTGTTACAATGAGCTTAAAAATCCTTTATTCAAAATTTTTAAACACTCTTTAAAGGAAGGTATATTTCCTGAAAAACTAAAAACTGCTAAAGTATAACCTATATTTAAATCAGGAGATGCAAGTGAAATAGGTAATTTTAGACCAATATCAATACTTTCAACATTCTCTAAGATACTTGAGAGAATTATGGACAATAGGTTATATACTTTTTTTAAAGAAAACAATCTTATTTATTTCAAGCTGTTCGGCTTTCAAAAAAATACATCAACTGAACACGCAATCCTTCACTTGGTTGAAGAAATAAAAAACTCCTTTACAAACGGAGAAGTTACTTTGGGGTTTTTTGTAGATCTCTCGAAGGCTTTTGATACAGTCGACCACAAAATATTATTATCAAAGCTTAATATGTTCGGTATAAGGGGTAGATCCAACAAGTGGATAGAAAGCTATTTAAATAAACGTGTGCAATATGTATATTACGGAGACAATAAACTCTCTAATCCGTCTATAATAGAGTGTGGTGTACCTCAAGGTTCAATACTTGGGCCCTTGCTTTTCTTAATCTATGTGAACAATCTCTGTATGGCTTCAAAAAGAATTTCAACTATAATGTTTGCTGACGATGGCAACTTTTTTATCTCTGGAAAATATAAGAGCGAGCTGTGCGTAGAAATAAACAATGAATTAGAAAAGATTTCAGAGTGGTTTAGGGCAAACAAACTCTCTATTAACTCAAGTAAAACAAAGTTTTCTTTATTTCATCCTTCTTTTAAAAAAAAAGAAGTTCAATCTTTTTTTCCTAAATTGTTTATTGAAAATAGGGAAAAAGGTAGGGATACTGTTACGAAATTTTTGGGTGTTTTTATTGACGAAAATCTAAAATTGGAATAAACATATCGCTTATATAGGTAGTAAAATACCCAAAAGCATAGGAATAATATACCA